CATTTAATATTTATTGGGCACCTTTTAATGTGCCAGACACTATCCTGGGTGCCGAGGATACAAAAATGAATAAAACAGGCAACCCCCTTGCTCTCGTGATGGGAAGAACAAGACAGAAAATACATAACTGAATTCATCAGCAATAAAGCCATTTCAGACAGTAGTAAGTGGTCTGGAGGAAATGGACTGATGGGTAGACAGCGACAGTGGGGTAAGGTAGAACGGCAACCCGGGAAAGCTGCTCAGAGGAAGTGACATCTGAGACTCGAAGGATGAAGGGATAAATGAGAATATGCCTGGCAGAGGCTCAGGTTGACTTCAGATTAGAGCTATATTAAAGGGGAATTCTCGAAGCAAAAGATAAAAATCCACATCATGCCCAAGGAACGTGTATAAATTGGATGAGTTGCTTTTATACAAAACTGTACCCATTTTGGGTTTCTGTGACTCATTGTGACTTCCTGCATCACTTCACGGATCGCGTTCTTTCTCCAAAGCTGCCCAGCTAAACTGAGCTTAGGAAGGAACATTTCCCGTGCTCTAGTCTTGCTGGCTTTCTTCTCTGTGTTGATGTTGACAAGAATTTTGCAGTTAGAAGATCCAAGTGTTGCTTTGATGCCCCTGGGATGGGCTGTGTGGATGGGAGGGGGAGGAGGTGATATTAATAGAGATCTAGAGGGGAAAGAAAGCCGTGGCTCTCCTGTCCTGGAGTCACCTGAGAGAGAACCACAGCGGCAGAGACCCCAGCCCCTCCATGTAGCATGTTTGGGCCCCCTTGTGAGAAGCTCCTATTGTCCTGTCTTCGGGGATATGGAGATCCTTCTCTGCAGAACCTAGCCAAAAGAAAAGCAATTTGGTCCACTCACCCTCACTTTTCAAATTTAAATCTTATGTATTTATTTTCTAAGATAATACACTGGCATTGTTCCAAATTCAAAAGAACCAGGAGAATAGACAGTGAAAGTCACATGTTCCTGACTTGTGGGGCAGACGGGTATGGGTTTCTTGGGTATCCTCCCAGAGATATTTTATCTATGTCTGCAAGCCAAAGGGGGAAGATAGTCTTTCTCCCATTTCGTCAATTATCCAATGTATTAAACATGCTATATATGTATATGAACATGTTTATGCTGTATATGTATATGTACACACACACAATATAATGTGTTAGACATAGACACAAAAAGCTTCCTAATTATTTTTATGGCTAAATAGTACTATACTGTTTATACTATATTTAATCAGCTCCCTACGGTTGGACCTTTAGGTTGTTTCAATCTTTTGCTTATAATGTGTGATGCACTAAATCTCCATGTACATATGTCATTCAACATACATATGAGGGGCTGTGGGGTCTAAGGGTATGTGCTTTATAATTTTGACAGGTAATGCCCAGTTACCTTTCAAGGAAGTCTCACTCCTACCATCAATGAAACATAACCAATTTCAGCCCAGCATCCATAGTTATCAGGACAAGATTTCAGTGTAAATCACTCTAGGTAGCTCATTTAGGAAACTGGTTGGTAAAGCCTGACACACAGTACCACAGAAAGGCTTTCCTGCCATAATTCGGAGTTCCAGAGAAAATCCTGGTGCCTCATCTTCAGGTGAATCAAAGCTCCCCCAAACTAGATCTTGCCAGCCCTTACCCATCTGCATCAACCGTGCTCCAAAGTCCTGATAAAAACTGCAACGTAGCTCCTAACTCACTTAAAATGGATGAGTGGTGATGTTTTGTAAGTTACGTTTTTATTTTGAAGGATATCCCGGACTGTGGCATTTCACCCCTCTGTGTTGCATTACACATCTCTAAAAAACGACGGGCAGTTTAAGTAACCATTCCCATGATGCTATTAAAACAAAATTATCAGTCAAGGGGGGATGGGTTAGCCCGGTGATGGGTATTAAAGAGGGCATGTTCTGCATGGAGCACTGGGTGTTATACACAAACAATGAATCACGGAACACTACATCAAAAACTAATGATATAATGTATGGTGATTAACATAACAAAAAATAAAATAAAGTACTAAAACAAAAACAAAAAAGAAACAGAGTTATCAGTCGTTCTTTAGAGTTACCTAATATTGCGTTTGCATAGCTAAATTTTCTTCATTAGCTCAAGAATATCTTCTGAAAATTATTTTTGTTCAAACTGGTATCCAAACAGGGTCCTCAAATCACACATGGCTGCCCTGTCTCTCTCAGTCTAGAGTGGCCCCCTCCCATCCTTTAGCCACTGCCATTGACTGACTGGAGAAATGAAGTCTGTTGTCTTGTCCAATGTCTCACATTGTGGATTTGGCTGTTTGTTTCCCTGTGGTGTCATTCAGCGGCTTCCCCCCCCTTTCTGCTTCCTAATACTAAAAGTTCACACTGAAGGCTTGATTAGATTCAGGTTTGGTTTTATTGGCACAAATCATAGGTGGTTCTGCCCAGTGATCCCTTTGACGTGATGAATTCCTCCTGGATGGCAACCTATCTTCTCTTGAGCTGCACTTGAGAACATTTTTATCAAAAATTTTTTTTAACTGGCTTCCTGTTTCCTCTCTGTGACCACTTTCTAGAACCTGATCAATTGTTTGTCTCTGAGCTGATTAATAAGGACTATGAATTAGAGATGGGAAGACAAGAACTTGGCAGGCCCGCACTTGGGCAGTGCCTGCCCGATGTTTCCCTGCATTCATGGTTCTCGGTAGGCCGATGTTGTCCAACAGAACTTTCCATGATGATGGAAATGTTTTGTATCTGTACTTTCAGTATGGTAGTCACTAGCCAGATGAGGCTAGCAAGCACTTGAAATTCAGCTAGTGTAAGGGAAGTTATACATTCTAAGTTAAATTTAAATTTAAATAGCCATGTGTGGCTGGTGGCTAACCAACTGAATGGCGCAGCTATTGTCATTTTTAAAAGACTTGAGGTGCAGACCTTTTCCACCTCCCTTGGGACCTAACTGCAGCTACTTTTTTTTTTTTTTTTAAGTCCTATTTTAGTTACTGAGATTGACTCTTGCAGAGCTGCTCCTGCATTTAGTGGCAGTTCATGGGCTCCTAGTGAGCTACCAGTTGTACCAAATCCAAGTGGACATGACCCAGAGCAGATGATGCGAAGGAAGTCACCACTGCAAGACAAAACCAGACTCAGGCCCAGGTACTGGGAGCAGGGGCACATGCAGGAAGATGCTCCATGTACCAAAATGATAAGGAGTCTTTGATAAAATAGCAAATATGTAATTACCATCAGGATATGTGGTACAGGCTTGTTCTTGCTCGGTAGACGCATGAATGTAGACTCTGTCTGAAAAGAGTCTCAGGTGCCAATTTTTCTTTTACAACCATGTGCCCAACATCACTGCTGTTCTCAGTGGTAGAGACACAAATGTGGATATCATATATGGATGTGTTCAAACTGATGAAATAATCAAACACCTTCGATTTTGAAAGTATTGCACTGGGCAAGGGGATGGTATAAAGAACATTAAGACGTGGTCTTTACTCAAAAGGAGCTTGCAGTCTACTAACATTAACATCCACTGTATATTTATTATGTGCTAAGCATCTTTCATAATTCTTCTTTGGTCCTTAACAGTTGTATATAAGAAAGGCATTCTTAGCCCCATTTTGGAGATAAGAAAGTTGAGGCCCAGCAAGGTTAAGTAAGTTACTAGTTCAAGGTAGCACATCGTACTCAAAGCATAGAGCCAAGACACACACCTGAGCTCAAGCTACCATTCTGTTTCTCCAGGACTCTGGTAATTGTCTCCTGACACATCTTCACACTCATGCTTCCAACCTGTCCCCTAACCATGTCAGTGCTCTGCTCAAACCCTGCAGTGGTTCCCTCTCTCTCACCTGGAGTAAGAGTAAGGTCTTTATACGGGCCTACAAGAACTTATGTTACATACTTCTTACCTCACTGCCCACTGCGTTCTGCCTCACTTGTTCTGCTCAAGCCACACTGGCCACCTCAGGTTTTAGGGCCTCAGGACCAGTGGGTTGCTTGTCCAAGAGCTTGTGTCACCCAGACATCCAAATGACCCACTCCATCATCTCCTGCAAGTAGCTACCTAAATATCACCTGTCAATGACACCTACCCTGAACATGCATCCTTACGTCTTTACCCCACTTTATTTTGACCTACATCACCTTCTAATAGAGTTTATAATTTACTTATTGTTGGCCACCACTCCCCTACACACACACACACACACGCACGCACACACACACATACAAGTTCTATGAGGGTAGGATTCTACTCCCACACCCTCCACTCATTTGTTCAATGCCATTTTCCAAACATCTAGAACATGCCAGATACATAGGGGCTATTCAGTAGACATTTAGCCGTTTTCCAAACATCTAGAACATGCCAGATACATAGGGGCTATTCAGTAGACATTTAGCCATTTTCCAAACATCTAGAACATGCCAGATACATAGGGGCTATTCAGTAGACATTTATTGAGGTGAGTGAAACTCAGGTGTGTCCAATTTCAAAACCACACTTAGCTATATTTTATATATAAACACATACCTACCTATCTGGGCCTGTTCAGTTGTCCTGGTTACTTTAAAATGTGTAAGTATGTAGAATCGTATGGGAGAATCAGAGCCACCTGTGCAGGTCTGTGTCAAGCCGACTTCCTTTGGTTTTAAGATCACCTGACATAGTATTAAGTGAGCCGTCTCTTGTAGCTTCTTGTAACGCCAGAAGGGGTAGGGAATTGTGGATTTCGAGCTTCCACCTGTGAGGATACTGCCCCAGCACCCAAGTTTGGGGGAGGGGTGTGTGTGCGCGTGCGCACGCACGCACGACTGTGCTTGTTCTTAGCAGCCTTGTGGGAGACCGAGAGAGCAGATGCTTAAGGACTTGGTACCTCAGCCCATATATGTAGTGAGTAAAAGAGCACGTGGTTTTGGAATTAAGCTACAAGTCTTGCCACCCTGCTGTTTGACATATTTAATAGAAATCGTATTTCTCTTTTTGAAAAAAAAAATAGGTTATTCTTGGTGAGAATTTGACTTCAAATTGTCCAGAGGTTATTTATGAAATTAAAGAAGAAACACCTGTTTTCTACAAACTGGTTCCTCATCCTAAGAAGAATATCTACATCTATCTAACAGCCGGGAAAGAGGTAGGTAAAAATGCTAACTATTACTTCTGACTTCTGAGTAAAAAGTGTTTAATTAATGTCATTATCTAGTAGTGAAGCTTTTACTTTGAACTATCGAGTTTAAACACTGCTGCAGGCTTCGAGAAGACCCGCAGTGGCTCACAGACATGGAATTAAAAACCTTACTGTCAGTGAGTAAGCAAGAAATATTACCTATTTAGACAATTTTATTATTGGCTGTATTTCCAATGCCAAGTTTTTCAGAAGAGGGTGTGCTTGCAAATGGGTGCATAATCAGCAAGGTAACTGAATTTACACATTTATTGTGTGGGCACTGAACGGTTAGATGCATTTATGAATATACCCAATGGGATTGGCTTTGGAATTTGGGGTTAATATCAGGCCACAGTCTCATACACATTCATGAACCAGGAAATATATGGCACTCACCCTCCCTCTCTTAATTTATCTGGCTGTTCTAGTTTATCTTCTTGCTTCTGCTTACTGAAATAAAGAGAATATCTTTTTCCATTTTCTTCATTTTTACAAAGTGCTTTCACCAAGGGAAGGAAAGAAAACTAATTTTTATTCAATCACTATTGACCATGTACTAGTTACTATTCTAAATATGGTCTCTCTACGTGCATAGAGTTGTGCTTGTGTACACACACACCTATAAAAACAATGTTGGGGAAATATGTTAATAATTTAATGAGATAAAATTACCCTTGTTTTATATATGAAGAGCCTAAGACTTAGGTTAGATAACTCGCTCAGGGGTGTGTGTGTGTGTGTGTGTGTGTGTGTGTGTGTGTGTGTGTGTGTGTATGTATGTATGTATGTTAGGCCTTGTCAGGTCTGGGACTTAAACTCTGGGCTGACATTAAAGCCCATGATAAACGAGATCAGATCCCAAACTTGTGCAAACTAGCAGCCTATTCTGGCATGGTAATTTGGACCCATGGCCATCAGAACATACAAAGTACAAAGGAAATCATTGAGACTTATGGAATGATATAATGGGATAACAGCGGCCCTTGGCCCACCCCCACTTTCCATTCTTTGTCTCTCATTCTAAGGGGAATGGCAATGATATCAAGCTACATGTGCTGTTATGGTCACAAGGTAGGTACACAAGCACTTTGTAGTCTCCAGAATTCCTAGAAAGGCCATATTGCCCTTTGCACATTGCAAAGTCAGTTATGTCAGAATGACCACATTGGGAGGGACAGTGGACCTGGTCTACATTGGTAAACCAGTTGTTCACCCTATAGACTCTACTTGAGCGGCTTGTTTCACCACTCAACACTCTCCATTCTATTTCTTCCCTGGGCTTCCTGCACTTGAAAGATTTTTGTCTGCTCCACAGACTGCATGTATCAAGTAACTATTCCCATTCCCAGGCTTTATTTATCAAGGGCATCTGAAAACTGCCAGCCGGGGAACAGACTGTGCTACCACACGGAGCTGATAAAATTCCAGCCCAAAGCAGAGACTCTTGAGGTCTTGCTTGGCCCGTGCATGTTTTTTCCATTCAACTTTTTGAAACATTGTGAATAGCTCATAAATTCTCATTACTACTTTCCTCGGAACTCAAGACTCTAATCTGGGAACCACTGGGAGAGCCACGGATAGCTGACAGGTCCTCACTTTCGGGAAGGTAAAAACTGCTTAGCCTCTGGTCATTCAAAGCCTGAAGTCCTAGGGAGAGTTTTTGACTGGGCATCAAAGCCAGTTATTTGTACATTCTTCACTTAGGTTTACTGCTGGGGATCCTATTAGTAAGATTCTGGTTGAGCCAGTATAATCCCTAGAGAGGCAAAACCTAAGGAAGGTTCTTTCCCAGACTCTTGGGGAGATAGTAACAGCCAAACTAATATGCCCCGGTACATCCATAGAATATGTGGCCATTAAAAATAACCACATGAAGATTTATGCATTCCTGTGGAATAGTCACTATAATGTGTTATTAAGTTAGAGAAGCAGATCCACTGTAAGTACTTACAGTGTTCTCTCTTTTACATAGAGTTATGTTGTTTGTGTGTTTAAGTACACTGTATAATGGTTCTCACAGAATGTTCTAGAGACTCATATTCCACTAAGTGTTCTGGGCAAAAGTGGCCCTCGGAGGAGATGTTACTGACTCTACCCCTCCTAGAGTATCATGAAGCTCAGCATATTCAAAGGCTCTCAGAAGCCTTGTTCTAAGGAAATCTATTTGCCTTTTCAATATAAGGTTTCACGTGTTTGTTGGACTGTGGGATCTTTTCCTCACACAATAGCAATAGCCAACATTTATTGAGCACTTAGTATGTGCCAGACAGTGTAATAACCCCATGGAGTCAGCAGCACCATCACCATTTCACAGATGAGAAAACAAGGTTAGAGAGATTACGTATTTATGAACCACCTCCGCCCCCAGCATTAAAAAGATGTTGTGTAAGCTACAAGGAAAGAGCCACATTCTGGTCAACTCTGGCTCAGGCTGGTGGTCTGCCCCCGCATCTTTCAGCAACACTGAGGATGTGAGAAATGGACAAGTGTATCCTCCATGAAGTCAACTTAGAATTGAGGAATACTCCTCAGGGTAGCCTATTTTCCTCACCAACCCTTTCTAGAACTCTCCGTTTCTCTAACCTTTTAAAGAAGTTACTTCTACCTTCTAGCATGTACAGCTTCCTGGCTTAATGAGTTCTGCAAGTTTCCTTACTACCTGCTGTGGGATTTTGCCTGCAGAAAATGTGCCATGAGACACTGGGGTCCTCTCTGCCTCCTGCCACCCCACTTCCAGGCTCTGATGGACTGTCTCAGATGCCTGGGTCTGCCCAGCACGGGCACCTGCTCTGTGAGGTTGCTGTTTCCTGACAACTGGAAGAGGCAGCTCGAGGGGCAGGCAGTGATTTGAATACTCCCCGTTTCTTTTCTTTTCAACTCCAGCGGAGGGAATTTGAGCAAGGGAGCCAGGAGCTGAAGCAATGGAGTTACCCTGGTGGGGGTGTGGGATTCTTCTCATGTCCATGTCCAGCGCCAGCCTTGTGCTGACACTCCTGGGTCAGAGCCTTTGCCATCCCCAGATGCTCATTTCCAAAGCACCACTGACCATACATCAGCTGTCTCTGTGTGAGGACCAGGTGACCTGATTCCATGGCCCCTTTGGAAATCATATTAGCGGGTCAGAAACCTGACTGCGTATCAGACTCACCTGGGAGAGCACCGGAGAATACAGACTCCTAGGCTGGGTCCCAGACCTACCGGCAGGAGTCTCCGCAGCAGGGGCAGCAGGGTATCTGGGGATCTGCACTTTCAAAAGCTTCCCCAGGGGATTGTGAGGACTGCTGCCCCATGTCATTACGGAGACATTCCGAGTTCAAGTTGATAAATGTGCTCTTTGTGGCCCTTCATCAGATAAGGTGTTGCCGTTTTTCTGGTGTTGCTTATAATTCCGTCTGAAGCACCGCGGTCTTTATTTTTAGGTGAGGAGAATTCGTGTTGCCAACTGCAGTAAACATCAATCCTGTACGGAGTGTTTAACGGCAGCAGACCCTCACTGCGGTTGGTGCCATTCGCCACAAAGGTATTTCCTGATTCTTTCTCACCAACTCACTTCTGGGTGGGGGGCGGGGAAGGATTATGCGGCAGAACACTTGTTGCCCTGCTTTGAGGACCCGTTCCAGTGACCTGGGGGAACTGAGCTCTTGGCCGCCGACTGAACTACTGTGGGGTAATCATCATTCCCAGCGATGTTCCCAGCTGTGCCCGTGCCGCGAGCCGGTTGGACCCGAGCGCTCAGGGTTGCCCAGCCTGGGGGTGGGCGCGGGCCGGGCTGCGACAGAAGGAAGGAGAGGCTGGAGATGTCCGCTCTGCTTGTACTTTTTCTCCAAGACTCCGGGGAGAGAGGCAAAAGCTTTTCCCTAAGAGGAGATAAAAGAGTAGGGACGTTTGAAAATTTCCATCGGGATCCTCATAATGTCTCGCATGCGGTTGGCTCGGGGGGAAGCCTCGTTATTGATGGTGCTGTCTCCCAGTGCGCCGTACAGCTTGCGGGCCTGCGGTGAGATCTGGGTCTCCGGGCACAATGGGCCCAGCCTGGTCTTGAATTACGATGGTCAGGACCCATCCAGGCTCTGGGGCGACTTGTAGCGGCTTCCTGACCGCCTAGGCAGCTCCTAGCGTCGCTGGGACCGGCCTGGTTGGGTTCGCTGTTGCCATGGCAACCCAGTACTCGGGCTCCCGCTACCGAAGCGAGGAGGAGAGCGCCTGAGCTGTAGCTCGGGCAGGGAAAGAAAGAAAAAAAGAAAAAAAAAAAAAAAAAAAACCCCACAAAACCAAACCATAACAGTGTCTGTCAGTTTGGTGCTTTCAGTTTTTAAAGGTGAAAAAGGATAAGGAAGAGTAGAACAGGTGAAGAGAAGCCGAAGGCCGAACAAGGGGGCAGTTTGGGGAAAAAAGAGAGGACTGGGAAGAGAATTGGGGCGCCTCTGGGGATGGAAGCCCAGGGCAATGAAGCAAGAGGTTCAGGAAACAAACTAAAAACGTGGGGATGGAATTAATTAGGAGTTCCCCGAGGAAGCCGAAAGCTGCGATGCAGCCAGCCGCATACTTGCCCTTGCCTTTTGCTGCGCTTCCTCACGGGGCTGTTGCCCTCAGAATCACTGGCAGACAAAAGAAGCAGGGCTGGGAAAATGCTCGTGTATAATTGTAATTGGGTAGGAATGTGTCCTTCGTGTTGCTTGCCCGAGTCTAGAGTTTAAAGAAATTAACTGATCATGAACAGCATTTCATCGTCACACACTCACTACACAGTTCTGCGGTATTCTTTCCCACCTGTTCCATTTAGGCAGGTTCCCTGCCTATATTTGCAGAGCTCCCTGCAGGGGTTAATTCGGTAGCAGTGGCCGGGATTCATTAGCCACGCAGAGCTAGTGGCTACTATTTTGGCAAACACAGGTCTGGAGCTCATGGGCAAGGTGTCCGGGCTGGTGAGATGAATTTTGGGGGTTAGATGTGTCTAGATGGGATGTAAAGAAGCCTGAAGACCAGACAAGGGAGGCCATGTCGACTGAGGGGAGCAGTAGTTGGGGAACTGAGCACAGAGGTGGTGCAGTGGTTGGGGGTCAGGGAGATGAAGAGGGGGAGGGAACAGCCAGAAAGGGAAGAGGAAAGACTGAAGAAGGTGGTTTCCATTATGCCAAGGCAAGAAAGGAGGGAGCAGTCTGCTGTGCCAGATGGTGCTGAGAGTTTGGGCAAGAGAAGAGAACTGATCCACTGGACTTAGCAGGTGATGATTGGTGACCATGACAGGGGCTGTTGTGGCAAGTGGTGCTAACGCTGCCAGAGAAACTAAGGAGAGAGCAGAGCAGAGACAACTCTTCAGAGGAGCTTTGCTGAGGAAAACAGCAGAAAGATGGAGCAGACACTGGAGGAGAAAGTAAAATCCAGAGGGTCTTGTTGTTTTTAAGATGCATGAAAGCACACTGTGCTTTGGGGCTATTGGGGAAGTTCCAGTAGAAAAGGGGAAACTGATGGTGCAAGAAAGAGAAAGGGGGGTTGTGCAGTGTTGTGTCTCAGAAGATGAAAGAAAATGCAATCTAGTGTACGCGTGGGGAGGCAAGCCTCGGGCAGGAGGTGCGCAAGTCATCCTTGGTCACGGGAGGGAAGGTGCAGAACGTGGGTCCTGGGGCAGGTGGGTGGGGGAGGTGTGTGCAGCATCAGTTTGTATTGCTTACGGTCATGTTCAGTGACTTCAGACCAGTGAGAGTGAGGTGGGGGAAGAAGTGCTGGAGGTTTGAAGGGAGAAGTGAGAGAAGGTAGGAAGGAGAGCTGGACAGAGAATGGAGTTGGGAAATACAGAATGATTGCCAGGTAGCAGGAGGGTCCCGTTGAGGACAGTGGTCTTGCTTTTGAAGCGAGAACACTCAGTGTGGTTTTGCTTTCGAAGTCTGCATTCAGCTCTGCTGGTGTAGTCATTAGAGTTGGGGAGAGCTAGATTTAGCAAGGTAGGACTTTGCAGGAAATACATCAAGAGAGGGGAGAGGGGCCTAGGAACTGAGGGTGTATCCAAGGCATGGACGATGGTATTGACATGGATATTTTTACTTAAAGTAGTGGACTCTGGGCTCTCAGCTGGACATGAACTTCAAGGAGGGGAGTGAGGGCTGAGAACAGGCGGCAGGATCTGTGCGTGGAAGGTTGTGGTTGGATTTCAGATTTGTTGGAACTGGGGAACTGGAAGGGGTAGTAGTTGGACTGTAGGGAGGTCGTGGATGGGGTGGTGCTATTGGTAATGACAAGGTCTAGGGTACGGTTGTGTACTTGAAGTAGGATGGAAGACAAGGTTGTTGGTAGGGAGCGGGTCAAGGAACTGAGGTAGCAGAGTGTTAGATCGATCATCTGTTTGGAAATTACAGTCCCCAAGACTGACTGTGGAAACAGTGTTGGAGGAAATAGTCCAGAAAAGGAAGGAATTGGCAGGGGTGGGGGTGAGCTGTAGATGGTGGCAACAAGGAGGGCTTCGGGGTGGTGTGGGCTGATGGCGTGACTGCCTGAGCTTCCAAGCTGGGGCACAATGAGGGGGCAGGCTTGGAAAAGGGGAGGAAAGAAGCATCCAGAAAGGGCAGCAGGACACAAGCAGGACACTTAGGACGAGTGAGAGGAAGCAGCCAGCCCCTGAGCTGGCTTCGAGGAAACTATGTCCCCAGGGGAGAGGCTGGTTTTGTAAGCACAAGAAAGTAAGGGCAATGGTCAGAGAAGAGGTTGAAGACGCCGGGGCATTTAGTGATGACAGGCTAGGAGTTCTAGCCTCCTATAAAACTAGGACTCAGGCTTCCCCTGGTTCTCCTCTTGCTCCCTCACCCCTGTCCCAGTACTCTCCGAGAGGAAGGGTGCTTTTAAAATCTAAACCAGGTCATGTCATTCCCCACTTTAAAACCTGCCCTGGCTTTCTCTCTTAGAATCCAGTCTGACTCTCTTACTACAGGACCTGCATACGTTGTCTGACCCTTCTGTGCCTCCCATGCCTCCCTCCCTTCTGTTCACTCCACCCCACCACACTGGCTTTCTTTCTGACTTAGGACTATACCAGGCTTGTTCCTGCCTCTGGTACTTTGCCCTTGTTATTGCCTTAGTCTAGAATATTCTTCCCCAGATCTTTCTGTGGCTGGCGCTTTCCTGATCACCCAGTCTGAAGTGGCCTCACCTCACTCAACACCTCGCTGTTTTATTTTCACCACGGCCCCGTCACTGGTCTGAAACGATCTTATTTCTCTGCCTCTCTTGTTAAAATGTAAGTTCCACGAACAGGGGGTCCTTGTCTGTCTTGTTCACTACTGTATCCCCAGAGTCTAGAACAGTGCCTGACACAGACTAGATGCTCAAAAAATATACGTTAAGTGAATGAAGTAGATTGAGTGATTGAGAAACTCTACCAGTGGTGGGTTGAGACTTGTGCATTAAGTAATATAGAACATTCTAGACTGATGGCCCTTCCCCGCCACATCAGATCACTTGGTTTAAAACTGGCTTGATTCTGGCCTAAGACAAAATAAAACTAAGCCTCAGATCTGTGACTCATTGAGTTCCCAGTACCATTCAAAATTAGGAATTCTAAAGGGGGATGTTTTCTTATAACTGTAGAGCATCCCACTGTGTTTATTTTAAATGTCACAGATTTATTTAGAAAAATAATTTATTTTCCCTTTTGAGAAGGTTGAGCTTTCTTGCATATGTGTCTAGAAAATGGATTTGTTGGGAGCGGGGGGTGGGCAAGAAAACTATCTTAACTTCCTTTTGATCGGGTGTTAAGAATAGGCATCTAGTATAAGCAGATAAAAAGCAATTAGATAAACAATGAGCTCTAAAATGTCTAGTATTTTATTGTTGGAAACTCAAATCCAACCTGTGCTGAATTTGTCTGTGTGGGTGGAAAGCGAATTTTTGCAGTCTGAATATCTTGGGTTTGGAAGCAGTTTCTCAGTTTCTCCCATATTGCAAAGCATAGCACATGTGTTCAGTTATGGATTTCCACAAAACTGGCAATCCTGAACCAATGAACGGGTGAGGTTCCAAAAGTTCATTTGCAAGTTTGTTTGGCACTCAGAATACATTTTCCCATAGAAACTATGTCATAAATTAAGGACTCAGTCCCAAGCCAGCCCACAAAATCCAATTTATTTGGTTTCAACAAATATTTATCGAGTATCTACCAAGAACACAGTGTGGGAAATGAGACAGCTAGGTGTTGCTGAGAGAAATCAGATGCCATTCTTGGCCTGAAGGAATTCACATGCTAGCCATGTGAATAGCCCACATGCATTCATTCAGTCATACATCCAACTGACTAATATTTATTGAGCACCTGCGATGTGATGAGGCCTATGCTGGGTGCTCGGGTCAGAGTTCTTTCTTGCCTACATAGAGCCTGCAATCTAGTGAGGAACGTAGGCCAGTGTATCAGTCCGGTTTCTGGTCCAGTGATATTGTGTTAACAAACTCTTAGTGGCTTAAAAGAAAAAACATTTATTCCTCTTGTTCATGGGTCCGCTCCAGTGGGAGAGGGTGGGGTTGGGGGTAGGGATG